ATTTAGGTTTGACTTGCAGCCGGAGAATCGACCTACAGACCAGAAAAAACCCAAAATGGAACAAAAACAGCCGGTTACGGATTAATCAGTTTTCAATGCATTCTAGGTCAATGGAGACTCGACCTATAGACTTTTCAACCTGCAGCCACTGTTCCAATACGAATTAATTCCGTAGGTAGAGAGTCCACTGTACTGTTTAATCTGTAGCCAAAGAACGTATTTAAACAGCATTTGCTGAATCAAAGGACAGCATCACCCGCCACCCACTGGATTGTCCCTGCCCCCCAGTTTGGGCACTCAGACTCAAAAAGGTTTGCCATCACTAGTTTAGATAATCTATAATGATTATTCAATCAAGTAAATGAAGCAAATAATGAACATGGTCTAGAAATGAATGGGAAGAAACCAAAGTCTATAGACATTAGTAAAAAGCATTGAACCAGAACTTGAGAAATTCAATTAAAGAATATAAATGTGTGGAGTCTGGTGGAAAATATTGGTTGAATACTGGTTAAATATTGGGATCATAGTCACAGAATGAAAGTCAGAATAGAGATGTTCCACAGCAACTTCCAAAAGGGACACAAGGTGATATACAATACAAAAGTTAAAACTGGCTTCAAGAATGCACATTCTTCTTTCTACAGTACAGAGGAGAAACAATAATGTACTGTAACACGTTCAACTACAAAAAAAGTAACATTTGAAATGTTGATTTACTGCAGGTTGCTAAGAATTTTTGGCTCAAGAAGTTGCCAAATGAAGGCATACTAAGAGATGGGATAAAATAAATCATAGAACACATGAAACACAGGAAGCCAGAATACTTTGGACACATAATAAGAAGCAAAAAGTATGGATGGTTAGAAGCAAGCATTCCAGATGAATTCAAGCGCAGTTTAGCGCTACCAGGGATGTGGTGGCGCTGTAGGTTAAACTGCAGAAGACCAGCAGTCGTAAGATTGAATCCATGCAATGGAGTAAGCCCCCATCACTTGTCCCAGCTCCTGCCAACCTAGCAGTTCAAAAGCATGTAAATAGCTACCACCACAGCTGGAGGGTAATGGCGTTCCGTGTCTAGTTGCGCTGGCCACGTGATCATGGAAACTGTCTACAGACAAACGCTGGCTGTACAGCTTTGAGATGGAGATGAGCACCGCACCCTAGAGTCGGACACGACTGGACTAAATGTCAAGGGGAACCTTTACCTTACCTTAGAGCTACCACATAGAAGTCAGTACAATCATTATGTTTTGTAACCCTCATCCCCATCCCTTGGGAAAGAATTACTAGTCATGTATATGACAGTGAACAGAGGAGTAAGCCTTGAATGTTAACTGGCCTTGATGTATTTATATTTACCAAAGTGTTATAACGAGATAAGGTAGCAACAAAATAGTGATGGAGGAAATGTTAGAATGCCACAAGCCTCACTGACATAATGAATGTATGTAATGAATAAATAAATAAATATGTATTCATGCTGTACGTTTTCCATGGCAAAGGAAAGTACTTTTACAAAAGGAAAGTACTTTTACAAAAGGAAAGTACTTTTACAAAATTATGACAAGAGTAAACATTGAATGAGAGCAAAATATAGCCTGCTACCAGTCCACTGCATTATATGTCATTGATCCAAAACAAAACAATAAAGAACAAAAAGGAAATAAATTGTTAGGAAAAAAAGTTCAATGGATTTCATGTAAGGAAATACATGTCTATAAACATGCAAGATCAGTGTCTAAAGTGTCATATCTCTGCAGAATGTATCTGCACCAGGTAGTTAACAATACAGTGTTGTGATGCTAATGTTTTAGGGAGAGCTGTATGCATTGTACATCTGTGATACAATAGTGAAATTTCATGTACTGCAAAAATTGATAAGCTAGGCTCATTAAAGCTTATTTTTAAAAGTTTTTTACCCTGTGTTTCTCCTTAAAAAGGGCAAAGCTGACTTATATAATTAAAAGACAACATTTAAAAGCTAAAAACAATAAGCATACAAATATTTAAAAGAATCAAATCTACACCAACTGTCCCAAGGTAATAACATACAACAGCAGAAAGATAGCAAACCAGGTATTTGTTCTTTTCCATCTCTTTTTGAAACAAGCATCCTGCTTGTTGCTCAGTCTCATCCCAGCATCTGATCAGCAGCATACTTGGAGTACTGCTCATAGCAGCAGGGGTCCAGGAATAAAGGAAAAGGGCAAGTGTGGGACTGGTTCAGAATCTTTGAAATGATTTCCTGGTTATAACCCGGCATCACCAGCCAATGGTCAGTTTCTGATAAGTACATTCTATTCTCGCTTCATTAAGGGTGTTTTCAAAAAGCCTTCTCTGGGTTTAGGATGCAGCCCTCTATGCCATCTTTAGGTAACAAAGAACCTTCTTAACGTACCTCCCACCACTACGTGTGGAATACCTTACTGAAGGAGATCTACTTTGCATACCTGTTCATAATTTCTTGTTTAAGACCTTTTCTTGGCAGGGATGAAGTGCTTAATTATTTTGCTTTTTGCTTTTACCATTTGAACGTTGTTGTTGGCTTTAAACACCACGATATTTTAACATTTCAAAACTTCTTCAAAGGCTTCATTTTCATTGAAAAGTTAATAGTAATGAGAAAATTTGTCAGGTTGATGACACATAATTTTTTAAAGTAAATAACAACTTTCAATCATGGTCTTGTAAGATGTACCCTGGAGAGATCTACTTGCTCATATTTGCTCACATCAACATTTGTGCCATCTCATTATTTTCCCTAAATGTTTAACCTGCTGAAAATGTACACATGGGTTGCATAGTTATGACAACTACAGAGTACATATGGCAGATTCCATCACAGAAGTGTAGCAGCAAATCACAGGTTCTTTGCACTGCTTTTAGAACTAATTCAACTGAAGTTCCAATGCTAACGTATTAGTTAGGCATCCTTCAGTCTCAAAAGACTATGGTAACGTGCTCTGTATGGAGGAGTTGGAACAGCATCTAGTGTGGCTGAGGAGGCCGATTCGAGAGGGGCAATCCCTTCCATACTGAAGACAACTCCAATCTGTCCCGTCCAGCTCCCCGATTTTGCTGCTTTTGTGACTTCCTCTTTGCCTCAGACTGCTGGACAAGGGTCTCTTCAAATTGGGAGAGGCCGTGATGCAACACCTGCCTCTAGGCTGAATGCTCAGATGTCAGGGTTTCCCATCTGTTGAGGTCCATTCCTATGGCCTTCAGATCCCGCTTGCAGATGTCCTTGTATCGCAGCTGTGGTCTCCCTCTGGGGCAATTTCCCTGCACTAATTCTCCATACAGGAGATCTTTTGGAATCTGACCATCAGCCATTCTCACTATGTGCCCAAACCAACGCAGACGTCGCTGTTTCAATAATGTATGCATGCTGAAAATTCCAGCACGTTCTAGGACTACTCTATTTGGAACTTTGTCCTGCCAGGTGATACCAAGGTATACAATAAATGTGTCTGTTGTCACTGGGTAATCAATTCAGGGAGGACAACAAGTAAGACGTAAACTCATTGCCTTTGTTCGGCATATCATGAAAACATTACTATGGCAATCTCACGGCAACATCTCAACGTGCTCATAGATTTCAACTAGCAACATTAAGTAACACGCCCACCGCTGTATTCTTTTAGTTAAGTGTTCACTGGAACTAGGTTCGGTCGGAATCAGAAAGTTTGAATCACGTTCAGAGGGGAAGGGAAGAAGTCTACGATTCGCGATCAACTCGGGGGAGGAGACAGAGATGGAAATCACGCACTGCTCGGCCCTCCTTCTCTGCATGCAACGGGGTAAGAAAAGCGGCAACTAGTCCCCATCCTTCAGCCACATAAAAAAGAGCAGGAAAAGACCAACGGGCCCCGCTATAGTCCTAGCATAATAAACTAAGATGAGAAGACGGGGGAAAGAAACAAAGAGACAAGAATCAAATTCTCGTGAGAGTGATATAGAACTGCCCGAACCTCACCTGCCTCCTTCCCCACCGGTAAGGCAGTAGCGTCGCCGTTGCTACCCGCCTCGTCCGCCATCTTCTCACGCCGTCGCCGCCCCCCCCACAATTCTCCCTCTTCTCCCGGAGCACAGAGATATCGCGAGAGGATCTGATCCCATACGCAGATATCGAGAGAGCAACGCTGCCTAGCCCGGGAATCGAAAGGTTCGAGTGAGCCTATGAGGTATCTTCTGTTCTCGCGATATTTGGTCTCAAAACACTCGAGAAAAAGCACGTGACTAAAACAGGCTCTTTTGGGCGTCCTTTCCTTCTGAGGGCAAGTATCTGTTACCTCTCGGTGGTTCTTATAACGCAGGAAGTAGACGCAGTATTGCCATAGACAGCGCTTTCAGATGTTCAGAGGATATACGTTGCATTCTAAGCAAACACTTGCACACCTTTTTTCCCCAAGGCATGGACAAAATGCAAAAAAGCGCCATTGTTATACTCGTCAATCTTGGCTGTGCAAAATATCTCCCATTTACAGTACAATGCTATGTTTGTGTAGACCTCCTTAATAGTCACTCTGATTCACGTGTTTCCATGGCAGACTACGGGCGGGAGAACGAAAGGGGAGAGGTCATTATTTGATCGTTTAAATAGCTCAATTTAAACCCACGAAGAAATGCCGCATGTATATATCTGAGACATTTTCTTCTCCGCCTCTCTTCTCAAGGGAAATGACACCTGATGGGAATAGTAAAAGAAAGAACCTATGACACCCCCCCCCAAAAAAAGAAATCCCAACTGTCTCTACAACACTGGGGCGAAAACGGGGAAATGTCCCTTCAACTCGAGGGAGCAGGAAAACCAGCCTCTTGCCCTCACCCAAGATGACGCTCCCAACTTCCCCACGACCTCACGCGGGAAGAGCGGATCACGTGGCTCCGAGAACGCGCGTCTTCTTTCCATCTTAGCTGTGGGAAGGGAAGCTCTTGGCGCTAATTTGAGCGCGGGCAAAAGATCTTCTCGCTCCTCCGCTGTCGGGTTGTGTGCGACTCTCTCCCCCCCCCCCCGCGAGAGACAGCAAAGGCTCCGGCAGGCTTCTCTCCTTGCTGTCTTGCGGGGGGGTCTGCGTGGGAGGGGGCGGGGGACCGGCAGGGGCCGGTGAGTACAGTCTCTTGTCTCTCTCTCTCTCTCTCTGTGTCCATGCCCCGCTCCAACCACGTCGTTTCCCCCGTCCTTCGTGAGGTCCGTAGGGTCGGTCCCTCTGGTGTTATAGTGCAATTTACCACGAGGTATCCCCTCGCCTCTGGCAAAACCCCTCCAAGTGAGCCTGGCGGGCTTAGCACGGTCGATGGGACCCGGGATACCCAACCCCACCTCCTCTGAGCTTTGTTAAGAAGAAAGGAAGGGGGTGGGGGAAGAGAGAGAGAGAAACACCCTAACCCAAACCCTAGTCAGGAGCTTTGTTAAGAAGAAAGGAAGGGGGGGGGGAAGAGAGAGAGAGAAACACCCTAACTGTGTCTTGTGTGTTTCTGACAGCCTAGCGATGTGGCAGAAATCGGCAACGTTTTCCTAACGTAGAGATAAGCAACTGCTTGATTTCAACTTGGTGTTAGAAGCACCACCTGTGGGAGTCTTTTCAGCTGTTAGCAACCTCGCCATTGAATCGGCCCCCGTTGGTCGTCCGGACTTTTACAGCCGGCACACCTCTCCGAAATTGCCTCCCTTCTCACAGTTGGAGGCCTCTGTTTCTTACAAGGATAGTCCCTACTTTGCAGTTCTTCTGCTGCCAGTAGTCGGGCAGCGCCGTCCTTCTCAGTCGTTGGTGGGACGCAGAGGAAGTCTGGATGGGAGTGTGAAATTCGGGGTTGTCATAGCAATCGCTAAACATTTACTCTCCCTTGGTGCAGACCCTGTATGCTGTTTTTCTCACCTTGTTTAGCATCAATCTGATATTTTGGCGTACTAATGGTAACTCAGGACACTCAATGCTTCTGCTGATCTTCCATTTCCAAATCTAATTTACTGTACTGTCAGTGGTAAATCAGTTGCAGTATGTCTGTAAACATAACTTGTTTTTCTCAGAAAAAGCAAACTTGTTTCTAGCATGCGAGATTTGAGAATGATAGATGAGGTGTAAAATATAGAAGCTTATGAACCAATGGTGTTCTCTCTTTTAGATAATTATTAAATACAGGGTCCCTTCTTTTGTGTATTTGGTTTATTGCAGTCTTGCAGATTGACTCTATTTACACCAGAAAATGTTGGTTTCTTTGGGATGTAATGTGTAAAAAGAAACCCAAATTGGCACAGTGTACTTAGTATAGCATATTTTCAAAAATATTTCTGTAGTATTTGTAAGTTGTCATTTGGGTATTGCTTGGGATTTAGGTAAGTTTCTTGAGGTAAAAAACATCAGTTACAAGGAGTGATCTGCAGTCTTGCTGCTATGTATAAAAGTTTGAGGATTTCTTCAAATTATTGTGTTTTGAATCTTTAGAAATTGAGAGGTCTTTTAATTGTGGAAAAGCATGTTTTCTTTTAAACAAGAACTTGACAATAGCAAATATTAGGAAAACAAATCTCTTCTCCTACCCCCCCAACTTCTTGCTGTGACAAGTTTAGTGTTTCAAATGCCTTTTCATTTTTAAATCCACCCTTTTAAAAATAAGTCTGTATGCCTATTCTTTTTGTGACAATCACTTATTTGTGTTTTTTGTTGTGTTTTCAAAGCAAGTCTTGCCCAGTTTGCTTATGTTCTTATGATAGAACAAGCCGCATCTGCAGTACCAGAAAACAAGGAGCCTAGAACAGTAGAAACAGCAATGTTTTCTATCATTAGGCGCTGTTTCACCCTGAATCTATAATATACAGGCATCTAGTAACCTTGGATTTGTTATTTATACCCTACTAAAATAGGTCTTGGTTTTACAGAACTTCATATTGATATTTTCAAGCTTTTCTTTTAAAATTTGGAGTAGGTTCATTCTGTCAGAGGGGAGAAGTAAGACTGAGATATTATGTGTGATATAAAAAGCAGCTGCATTGCATGCTGCGGATATTTTTTTTTATAAATGGGGACTTTTCTGAAATATATATATTTGTATGTGTGTGTGTTATAAAAATGAGCAAAGTTGACGTGCCTGTTATAGTACAGGAATATTCTCAAAGAAAATGTGCTATAATTGTGTACTTATTCAATTCACAAAAGAAAATTTAGTTCATCATTAGATTTGGTTGCAGACAGATTGAAAACAATGGGATGGCCTTATAATAATTAGTGAACCGAGACAAAAAAATAAGGGTCAACTTGGAGAAGCAAATAATTTGAAATCAAAAATTGCTTGGTGAACAAACTCCTTCATATGACAGCCCTTTGTTCATTTTTGTGGATGATTTTTGGTTTGTTCAGCCTGAGGGCTAGTTATTTGACAGCCAACCAAGTGCATTTAAAATCTGTATCTTTCTTGCCTTGTGAGAGCTGCCTAGGAGATATATGGACCAGTTGTTAGGTGGTGGAGATAGTCCTTGAAAGAAGGGCATATTCTTCTGGTATTCCATTTTAAGCAGTTTCTTGGAGGGGGTAGTAGTCTTTGACTTCCATGTTTTCCTGGCTGTTACTGATTATCTGGACCCTTCTCATGTCCAGGTCAGGGAAGTAAGCAGCTATCATGTTCTTGACATCAGTGCTGGAAGATAGGATGGTAGAGTGCTTAGCGGCATTTGATAACATCAGTCATGCTGCTTTTCCAGAATGTTTGGCTGATGTGGGATTTGGAGGCACTGTACTGTAGCATTTCAAGCCCTGTTAGGATGAATCTTCCCGGAATGTGGTGGGAAAAGACTATTGCTCATTTCTTCCGCTAAAGGCCACTAGAGCTTGGAAAGCTACTTTTAAAAAACAGCTCGTGACGTTACTCTTACTCACCTTCCAGCAAGTAGTTGTTTATCATGAACATAAATGTAGTTCATTAAAAAGTGATAACTTTCTCTTTTTAAAAAAAAAAACTAAAGTAGCAGCTTTTTTATAACCCTAAAAACATCTGATTGGTACATGCCATTGGTTTGTGATACAAATACATTCCCATCCCATGTACCTTGTCATCATCTCAACAACAAAGTACATTATGAAACAACATCATCATTTAGTATGCCATAAACCAGTAACTGAACCATAATATGTTCTTACACTGCAGTTTAATGAGGCTGCATCTCTGTGACTACCAAAGACCTGAATGGCTTGGGCCCAGGGTCTATGAAAGGCTGCTTTCTGTATGATCCTGTGTGAAATTTGCATTAATCAAGTAAAGTCCTGCTATATGTCACACCATCTAGAGACAGCAGATTAGTCTGGTGAGGTTACGTATAACAGCATGGCAGTTCTTGGAAAGGAGTATGGGGATGTGCCATGCAATTAGTATTAATATGTTCATCCTAATATGGACTTTATTCTCTGCTTTTCAGAGTGCTGCCATATAGAAGATATTTTCGGCATCTTCCATATTCTGTTAGTAGGCTAAGGGTCAGTTCTGGTGGCAGAATAGCTTCAGCCCCCAGAGGCAAACTTGATTATTGGGAAATAAGTTTTCAAAGACAACAGCCTGAAGCCAGATATGTTGTCGTGGTGTATGTTTATTCACGCAGCCCATCTTAGACGTATTTTCTTGGAAACAAGTCTCTTTGATTTCGATGGAATTTTCAATGTATGCATTGACACAGTCGTAGAAGAAAGATTTGTCTGCTGCAGCTCTGCACTTCTGGATTCTTATCCTCAGTTTGCTGCTGTTTGTTCTCTGAGCCTTCCAGCATGAGCATTACAGGTCTCTTCTGTATTCCTGAGACTCTTTTGAATTAATCACTATTTGTAACTGCTGAGTCTATCTAAAAATTGATCCACTGGATTTTTTTTTCAGATTTTGGTTAATCCTTTACTTGTTCTTTGCCTTGTCTTTGACACTGAGCAACAATAATACCCAAAAAACTTCACAGGAAGATGCATTGATATTGAATTCCCTCATTAATTTCGAGTGATCAGCAGAGATTTAAATTGTGATTATACTATTTTTTAAAAAAACCGTAGTGTGATAATATATATTATATTGCATCATATCATATGGTAACATATTGACCAAAATTCTTTTGCTTAGCACAATAAATCACACTAGAGTAAGACCATTGAATCAATAGAGATTCAGTGAATCAGCTCCTCTGTATGTTCCATTGATTCAAATGGACGTATTCTAATTGTGAGTTACTGTGCTAAAGTAAGTTGCAGTTAGAATAGGCCAATTTGAGTCAATAGAACTTACAGAAGCATTGACTCACCAAATTCCTATTGATTCAGTGAACCTGCTCTAGTGTGATGTACTGTGCTAAGCAGTAAGATTTTGGCTATTATATTATGCACACACACTCCATGGAGCTGCCTTTGGAAAGTGTTTGGAAACTTCAGCAGGCTCAAAATGCTCCAACTACTTTGTTTAGTGGGGCTTGTTACAACGACCCCATAACTCTCCTGCTACAGAAGCACCACTGGTTGCAGGTCCGTTGCCAAGCACAATTCAAAGTTCTAGTTTTAACCTATAAAGCCTTAAACGGCTTGTGTCTAAGCGATCTTAAAGATTTCATATCCTTTTATTAGCCTGTCTGGTTCAAGATCATCAGGGGAAACCTTGATTCCACCACCACCACCACCACCACAGGTGTGTTAGGTGGGGACGCTGGAGAGGGCCTTCTCTGTCACTACTTCCAAACTCCTCTTTTCATGGGAGGCCAGGCTGGCCCTTTCTCTTCAAGCAGGCTTTCCCCTCATGGCTGGTGGTCTGAGAGGGATTTTTTAAAATGGGGTTTTGTTTTTGTTACTTTTAGTGTGTTTTTAGTGCTTTTTTCCTACTATTTTTAATATATTTGTTTAATTCATTTTAATATTGTCATAATTTATTAATCAGCTTTTCACATTGTATCTTTTTAATTATTGTAAAGCTGCCTTGAGTCCTTTTTGAGGAGAAAGATGGGATATAAATATTTTAAATAAATAAATATTTTCATGCTGTTAATTAGAATCATCGGATAGTGAAGTTGGAAGGGGCCTTTAAGGCCATCAAGTTCAACCCCCTGTTCAATGCCATTAATTTTAATGTTTTTTATTGTGGGCTTTTACTTGATTTTATGGTTAAAATTATGTTTTACTTGTGTTTATTTTAGGAAGATTGTAAGCCGCCTTAAGTGCTATTTTGTAGTGGAAAGGAAGAGTGTAAACAAAAAAAACATGCTATTGCCATCTAGGTACTTTATAATGATTTGCAAAAAGTAGGTTTAGTGAACTCAGCCTTTTGTGGCTGCTGTGAATCTGTTACAGTTTGCAAGGCATGTTAAATCTCTGAAAATAAAAGAAGGTTGAGGGAAGCTTTACGTGTTACTGTATCTTTGACTTCTAATGAATTGAATAATGCATACTTCTTAGTCTATGGTGCAGATTATCAGGAATTTGGGCTGGGGGAATAGTGGCTAAAAATCAGCAGCCAGTAGCTTGGACCTCTCAGAAACCCATTTGGGAATGAGAGTCATTCATTTTTCCGGCTTCATGTTTGAGCATTTTAAGCTGTCACAGCTTGGCAGGTCTAGTAGCTGCAGTGTCAAGATTGTGAATTATCCTGCTGGTAATTGTTTTCTGATTCATCAGTGTGATAGATGATGATGAGAGAAAATGGCAAATAATCATAAATGTGAGATTTTCAAGGATACCCCTGAAAAGTGTGAGTTCTGAAATAAAGCACACTTGGGCTTGCCTATTAAGGGGTCACCTTGGCTGTCTGAGCTTAGGGAAATGTTCTTAAGAGTCCCAGAATTGGGGGGGGGTGTTGAAAAAGCCCACATAGGTGAATGGAAAAGCAGCTGTGAGCCAACATTCAGAATTAGTTGCAGATAGTTCTTTGCTCTGTTCAGTTTTGGTGAAATCAAACATGGGCCTTACTTAAAAGCAGACTATTGGAATAAAAGGGGAGAATGAGATTTAAGTGAAACATTTTCACTGCTTCCTGACTTGTCTGGGTCTTTTTAATTTATGATTGGAGACATCAGCCTCTTTGTTTTCGGAGCTGCATGTATTTAATTTTATTTATTTATTTATTTAGAGTTGTGTGGTTAAATCTGTGCATGTCTTTGAAAGCATGGAGGATAAGGGAATCTTTGTGCTTCTTTGCAGTCTCTCACCTAATATGATCCATTGGGTAGAAAAGGTACTGCACAGTTTGGGGAGTTGCTGAATGTTAGCTTCTTGGCAGGCTTACAAGTGCTGTTCCTCAATATTTCTCATCTTCTTCCAGAGGTGTGTGAAAGTACACCATCTGATGTGAATAGGAAGTAGTGGCGAAACTGGATTTTGAAATAATTGTCTTCTTTATAGCCTTTATGTGTTGCTCTAAATGACATAACCAGTGTAAATTTGAAATGTTTTCCCCTCAATATTCTTGAATTGACAGACTTCCAGGGTAGTGTTTGTTTTTCATTTCAAGGTGGCAGCACTAGAAACTTAAAGGGTATAAATGTGTCTGTATAGAAATCTGTAAAAGCAAAATAGGAATGTAGGAACTGCAGATGAAGGCAGAACTAAAGATGCTACATTTTTGGAAATTTTGACTCAGTGCTGCACTTTTTAAAATTTGTGAACAGAATTTTTTTGGGGAAATAATACTATAGTTATTCATTAACAAACCTAAGCTGAATGTATTATTTTAACAATGTAAAATACATCCTTCGTAATTTACTTAAGAATAAATAATTGCATGCCATCAAGTCAATTTTGACTTATGGTGACCCTTTCCAGGGTTTTCTAACCAGAGAGTACTCAGAAGTGGTTTACCATTCACTTCTTCTGGAGGGCATCCAGGGACTGCGCAGCTTACTCAAAACCCCACAGGCTGGTTCTTCCCCCTAGGAGACACAGTTGGGAATTGAACTCCCAACCCCTATCTCCACGGCCAGATAGCTAAACTACTGAGCTGTCCAAACAGCTGATATAGTTAGCATGTCAAATTATAGTACTTGGCATATTTATGAAATTTAAAGTATAGTTGTTCACATGATTACCCCTCAAAATTAACTCGATTTAGTGGTCTTTGCTCTCAGAGAAGTATGTATAGAGTTGCAACCTTATTAATATAACTTGTGAATAATGCAATTACTAGCAAAAGACAGCATGCCAAGGTTCCCTCTAAGCTTGGCGCACATGCGCCTCTGCGCAGCTGTCTTTCCCCTCCGCGCAGCGATCATGTTATGTCCCGGTCATGATGGAACTCAGCACACAGGGGCGGAGTCACGAGAGAGAGAAAGGCAGACCCCCATCCAGCGGAGCTGAAATGTTAATAATAAAAGAAGCTGTCGTGTTTGTAAGTTTGCTGTTTGATCTGTTCAGTTGTAAGTAATGAAACCTTTTATTCTTTCCCCTACTAATGTATCAGAGTGAGGTTTTGAGACTGTAAGTGTCAGTTAATGAGAATAATAATAATCATGTGCCGTCAAGTCAATATCTGACTTAGGGACCCTTTTCAACGTTTTCCAGGTAGAGAATACACAGAAGTGGTTTACCATTCCCTTCTCCTAGGGTCACTCTGGAAATACTATGCAGCTGTGAATCCTTGCATTTCTTCTGAACAGCAAGGGGAATTTAACCAAAAATTCAAAACTCTGCAACACTATGTTCCTTTCTTGCCACTCATCCCTGGAACTTTTTCTTCCTTGATGCCAGCTCTCTCTTCTTTCAAAGCTTCTGTAGAAATCATGCCATAACACCTTTGAAAACTTACCCTAGCATCCCTAGAAATTGTGAGGCCTATGTTAGTGTCATTGCATTTGCTCAAAGTTACCTCATCTATTTTTCTCTATCGCTAAGCTTTAGATGGTCAGCTCCTTGAGGTTGGACCTGTAAAAGAAATGCCATGTGCATTTTTCCCATTGTTAAATAAATAGAACTTCCCAATATATAGTGGTGCCTCGCAAGACGAGGTTAATTCGTTCCGCGAAAATCGCTGTCTTGCAAAAACATTGTCTTGTGAAACTTGGTTCCCCATTGGAATGCATTGAAATCTATTTAATGCATTTCAATGGGGAAAAATTGATGTCTTGCGAAAATCATCCATAGAAAACATCGTCTTGCGAAACATAGTTCCCCACTGGAATGCATTGAAATCTATTTAATGCATTCCAATGGGGAAAAAAAAGTCTTTGGTCTAAAAAACAACACCGTCTTGCAAAGCATAGACCCAAACATCGTATTGCGAAAATCGTCCATAGGAAAAACCGTCTTGTGAAGTGCAACAGCGATCGCAAAAAACCATCATTTTTCAGATTAATCGTCCCGCGAGGCAATCGTCTTGCGAGGCACCACTTGTACACATGATCACAAGAAATGAAACATAAGGCAGAATATAGAACTGTGCATGAGAACACTGAGAAAAAGCTGAATGTATCGATAGTGGTTTGTGACTAAGAATATTTGAAAGGTATGAGTGTGCACAAGCTGGTTTTCTCTGTTAGTTTAGTTCTTTATTTTTTGAGGATAAGAGTGTTTGTGTTCATTCTGGATTGTCATTAGAAGAATTCAGCTATCTTAATGCTCAATGTGCAGTCCAGTCAAGTTTCTGTTTTAGTAGCAAGGGAGTCATGAAGGATCTTCTTACAGCCCCACTCTTCTTGTATTGAGGCCTTGCCTTATCCCTTGTATAAGGACAGCAATCCGTGCCTATTGGAACGGATTAACCGGTTTCCAATGCATCTCTATGGGAAATGGTGTTTCGCATAAAGTTTTTTTCGCATAAGGTTTTTTTTTTTGGAACCAATTAAAAACGTTATGCGAGGCACCACTGTATGTGTTTTTTGGCTTCTTATTGTGGTGCCATCTTTATGAAAGGTTTCGGAGGAAGATGTGTTACCAGAAATGCTAGACTGTTGTGATCAGTTTGCACATTGAACTGATTGCCAGAAAAGCTGTGGAGAGTGTAAAGGAAAAGCATTTGCCATGTTGCTGCTGCTCTCATTTGGCCAAGGGCCCTAATCAGCTTTCCTGGCTGTGCTTTCACTGATAAAGCTTGTTATGTAGCTCTCTTGCTATGTATAGTCTGGCAAGCAAAGACTTTACTGAAAGCAATAGCTCTAATTGCACTTGCACCTGCTTTACCCTCTGTTTCACATAATTCTTAGCATTTGCAGTACTAATAGTCAGCAGGTCCTCCTCCCTCCACACTGAATCCTGTTCCTGGAACAGATAGCTGTAGTGAATTCCAGCAGAGGGCACTGTAAGCATTTTGTCTGGTGCACAGCTTAGGCCTTAACAAGAAACCCAATGTCCTTGGCTTTTCTCTTGAATTGTCTTTTGCCACTCTTCTGAATTTTGTATTAGTCCTACAGTATGTGTCCAAGCTGTTGCTCTGTGAGCATATCATTTGAAAAATGCAGCTTCTGTCATATGTCTAATTGAATATGAACGCTGGGAACTCCTTCAGATGCTTCACTTTTCCCTCCTGGAATGCTGAGTCTGGCAAGATCCACTGTCCCTCTTTTGGCTTATTCTTCATCAGTAGTGGAATAAGGTGAAGGCTAATAGGAGTTTGAAAGCTAATGTTTCCTGATGTTAAATGTATAACTTTGGGCAAGTCTGAGATGAGTTGTTGTTGGGTTTTTTGGAACATGCAGTTAGTCTGCGATTTTGGCTTTTTCTAAGCTTAATCGGCTATATAAGGTGCTCTTAATTGGATGAGCAGGGATTTATGAATGTGTCTCCTAATAACTCTCAAGTCTACAGGACTGTGTGATACGAATTAATGTCTTGGGTGTCTTGCCTCAAAGTAATAAGGCAGCAATCTATTAGGAGGAAACTAAGCTAGGAGCGACCAAATGGTATTAAATCTTTCTGTTTGTTTCAGTGGGGAGGATGCCAAAGAAGAAGCGGAAAACTGTGGACAGGCCTAATTCTCAGGACCTGGATCAAAGGGAAGAGGAGCCAGGAAGATTCCCAGATGCCAGCTTGGAGCACAGTTTTGAGGATGCGTGTATTGTCATATCTGACAGTGATGGGGAGGTAAGTGGTCAAGAACATACACCATGCAAGTTCTGACAGGGGAAGGAGCATTTATATGCCAGTCTATTTTCCTTTTCTTTTTTCATGTGTAATTTGAGTTTGAAGTAAAATTGAAAATACAGGCATACCATATAACAAGCAATTGAGAGAAGAAAGGAGTATGGAACTCACTGTTTACTATTCTTGGTATTACTGTTGAGTGATTTGGTCATATGGATCACAGTCAGAAAAGGAAATGTTCTGTATTTGATTGGAAAGGGGTTAGAAGCCTGAAAGTCTTTTCTGTAGGAGATTAGATAAGCATAAATTATAGTGCCATATCTTCTTTTAAAAATTGATTGTTACATATGCATATGTATTGAAAAATGTCCCATTGATATGTAAGTGGGCATTGCAGGGGTTGACAACATGTTGCCTATAGGCCACCTGGGCCCTGATGTATTGTGGATGCTAGGAGCCCTGTTCACTACTGATTTTTCACCCATTAAAAAGTGTAGGATTATTTATCTATCTGGAAGTCTCCAAGAAGTGCAGTTCTCCTTTAAAATAAAAGTATGTACTCCCCCATGTTGTGTTGTGATCTCCCCAAAACCAAATTTTAGGAACTAGTGATGCACTTCCAACCACATTTTGTTGAAGGGTTTTGAGTGTTTAATGAATTCCTAGGAGGGGAAATTAGTTCTGAAACCAGTCAAACTTGCTGACTCCTGGGAAATGAGGTTGTAAATTTATATATCATAATTGTCTTTGAAATTTGACAGTGTTCTGCTGTTTATTTCTGTAGACAGCTAAATTTTCTCTCCACCCCCCGAGTCAAATTGTTGATTCTTTGACTGGCAGTCCATTTCTTCTTCTTAAGATGGTTTTAAGATTGATTGATCTATGCCCATGTAGTCACCTGTCAAGCATAGCACCTACTGTAAGACCTATCAGTGTAGGTATTTTGTTTACTTATTACACCATTAATTATTCTTAATCTCTCTCAGTTTGTGTTTTTAGGGAGTAAATAACGTTATTTATTTTATTTTAACACATTGAATCCCAAGGAGTCAAAGTACCACAGTTAAGATACGTGATGAGACTCTGTTAAGCATGCACACATACTATGAGTAAAAATCACTGTCTTATTTGTTTTGATAGGACTAGTCTTTATCTGTTTAGGTCAAAAGCACTTTCACTTCTAGTCATTTAGTGCCTGAAAGCCATACTGTATAATGTGGTTGCCTCTTTATGTCAGGAGAGGGATGTCTTACGCATTAGTTGCAATCCCAGCAATCATCATGACTGCAGATGCCTCTCATTAGATTAGGCTTGCTTTGATATTATGAAGGAACAAACGTGGGCTAAGATACTAATCTGCAAGAAAAGATTGTGTCCAGAGGTAAGAAAAAAGTTACCCGTATTTTTCGCTCCATAAGACGCACCTCTCCATAAGACGCATCCAATTTTTAGGCGAAGAAAACAGGAAAAAATAATCTGGGAATTTCGCTCCATAACACGCATACACTTTTTCCTAATGTTTTTTTGGAAAAAAAGTGCGTCTTATGGTGCGAAAAATACAGTATTTTGGCTGCCGCAACCATCCTGAAGTTTGTAGAATGCACAGACTCTTGTTCCCATGTCTTCTCTGGCAACATAATTACAAAATGTCAAACAAAATATCAGGAACGTGTTTCCTTGTTTGTCTGTTAATATGATCTATGTCATCCATTGCCAACCATGCCCCTCTTCCCTCAACATAGGATCAACAGGACAATCTATATACAAAGCAATTAATAGACCTACATCTGACATCAGAAATGGCAACACATAAAAACCTGTTTCAGAATATTTTAGTCTATCTGGGCACTGCTTGAGTGACCTGAGAGAAATTGGCTTAAAAAAAATCTACAGTACTAGACTTCAAAGATAATCAGCAGAGATAAGGTATATACAGGTGCTGCAGAGCCACTCAAAAGAACAGAATACTGATTGAGAGTTTCTAACTCACTGCCACATATGAAATCCTACAATGATTCCCACAGTTTGCCACTTATGTCACTGATGTTATTGTCACTTTGTAGACTCATAGAATGATAAGTGGAATTATTCCCAGCCTGGTAGTACCATTCCTTTACTATTGAACCTCTGTCAAATTGAACATTATATGTATCTTCTGTTGTTTATAAGGCCATGTACAAATATGACAGTGATATGTTGTTGTTGTTTAGTCGTTAAGTCGTGTCCGACTCTTCGTGACCCCATGGACCAGAACACGCCAGGCCCTCCTGTCTTCCACTGCCTCCCGGAGTTGGGTCAAATTCATGTTGGGAGGCGGAACTTGGTCGCTGTGAAGCCAGCAGCTCCCGGGAACAGCTCCCGAAAAAAGCTGGAACCGCTCAGTCTGGGGTCCCTCTAGAAAGGGGGGGACTGAAGGGGAGGCCGGGAGAGGTCACCCTGAAGCAGATGGTGAGCCCAGATAGTAGAAGATTTGGCAGCAACCTGATTTTTCTTCCCTCTGAAAATTCACCCAAGCATAGATTGGAGATGGGAGGCCATTTTATGGCACAAAGCTGTGAGTAAACTCCACACCAAAATTCCTGAGGAGAGGAGAACAAAAATACGGCCGAAAATACACAATAACAAAGTAAGTCTTTGATTTATGAACATCCTCATTAAGGTGTAAAAGAAACTATAAAGTGAAAATATTTGACCGAAAGAAGAGAGAGGAAGCGGTGAGCCATGCCTGCCAGCTTGCTTCTTCAAAGCGAATGTCTCTTAAACAGCAAGTTTATAAACAGCATGATGGCTCAAGGTCACAGATAGACAGTGAGATGGAAAAATTTATGTGTTTCTGCAAAAAATCCCAGAGGAAATACTACTCAACAGGCTTTAAGGGACTGAAATCTTGTGAATTCTGTTTAGTCTGTTTTTTTCTCCCTAGTTTGAGTGGGACTTTGAAAATAAAATCTTGTCTTTGGAGCAGGAGGAATAAGCTTTTGGGAATAAAAAACAGACAGTGAATCATCAGTGTGACGACATAATTGGCTAGATTGAAGAACTGAGGAAGCCAGGACTGGAGTCGAATGGAACTTTGATAATAGAAGCATGTTTGGTTTTAGAAGGAAGAATAAATTTTTGGGAGTAACAGACAGTGAATCATCATCTCATCAACGAGAGGAACGTAACAGAATAAATAGACTGAGGACCTAGGAAAATCAAGCCTGGAGTTACTGAAGGACTACCACAATATCTTTTGGAGAGACTGGCTCCCTACGTTTGCTGTTTAGTCTGGACTTTCTCTTGGTTGGACTGTGTGGATTTTGATAATACAGTGGTGCCTCGCTTACCGATCGTTCAGTTGAGCGATGAAACCGCATACCGACGCTGTTTTTGCGATCGCAAAACCGATCGCTTTGCGATGTTTCCTATGGGGGAAATCGCTTTGCGATGATCGCGCGGAAGTGATCACCGCAAAGCGCCCATTTTTAACAGCTGATCGGCAGTTCCAAAATGTCCGCCGCAAAAACAAAATGGCTGCCGCTGTTTTGCCTCGCTCTAGAGGCACCCAAAATGGCCGCCGCTATGGAGGAATTTCGCATAAGGTGAGTTTTTAAGCCCATAGGAACGTATTAAACGCGTTTTAATATGTTCCTATGGGCTTTTTAAAATCGCTTAGTGATTAAATCACTTGGCGACATTTTTCCTGGAACGGATTAACGTCGCTAAGTGAGGCACCACTGTATTGCTATAATATCTGGCCAATGAGAGAGGACATACTTGGGGGGGTGTATGATGATGGGTTTGGTTTGTTGATAAAATAGTGGAATCAAAAAAATTATTTATACAAACCATATGTATTGGAAAGATGGAAATGACCTCTGAAATTTTTAAATATCAACGGTTGGGATTTTGCCAGATAAAGAATGGCAGGTTACCATGCAAATGACAATAACAGGATTTCAGCAGGTAAATGAGCACCTCAACCAGGTGGAAGACCTGATGAAAGGGAAACCATCAGAGGTTAAACAACAGTTAAATGAAACTGCACTAATTCCAGAACAGTTTTTATTGAGAGTGATGTCAGGTAACATAGATGAGATTAAGAGTTACCCAGTGAGCTACTCAGATAGAACAGTCAGAGAAGTTGATATTAAAAATCAGATTACTGTCCTGGATTCAATTTTATCTCCTCAAAAATGGAAGAAAATAGAGTCATAGAAACAAGAGAAGGGTACTGAGAAAATATGGGAAGTGCTAGAAATTGATATTTTTTCAGGCAGGCTGAATGTATGTCCAAGACAGAAGGAAATTGAAAGGCGGGGGTGTATTTTATAATTGGTCTTGATTTCCTGATAGAGTTGGAATAACTTAGATTTAAATTAAAACATGAATATAAGCTGATATTTAGAGGATAACCAAACAGTATAAAAAAGAATATAAAGTTGTTTTTTGCATTGAAAAATGAATAGATTAGATTCATGTATACCTAATATAAATAGATTGGATGATTGTATACTTTGTGTTCTCCTGTCCTTAAAACCCTTTTCCCATGCCTTACAGTTCCTTTTACCTTTTGTATTCCCTACCCTATTCCTAGTAGTTTAAAAATAAAATATTTAAATAGTAAAAAAAATCATGTTGGTAGCTTTGGTGACACTGTCCAACCATCTCGTCCTCTGTTGTTCCCTTCTCCTCTTGCCTTCACACTTTCCTAACATGAGCTGACCACTGAAGAATGGATGTTTTTGAATTGTGGTGCTGGAGGAGGCTCTTGAGAGTCCCCTGGACTGCAAGGAGAACAAACCTATCCATTCTAAAGGAAATCAACCCTGAGTGCTCACTGGAAGGACAGATCCTGAAGCTGAGGCTCCAATACTTTGGCCATCTCATGAGAAGAGAAGACTCCCTGGAAAAGACACTGATGTTGGGAAAGTGTGAAGGCAGGAGGAGAAGGGGACGACAGAGGACAAGATGGTTGGACAGTGTCTGCGAAGCAACCAACATGAATTTGACCCAAC